CGACTTAGTGTTCAGTTGAGTTTGGTTTCTAGACACGAATATAGCCTCCTCATTTTCACCGACCCCCCATAATTCTCTGAATCTAACTAGCACCTCAGTCAGCCTAAAAGTTTATCCCGAAAGCTCATCCTATCACAACTGTCACCATAGCTTGATTTGTTTCCTTACATCTCGTAACATGTAATTATAAACACTCATCGATCATTTCAAATCGTGTATAGGTTAAACCTGGTCTTCTTTAACAATAGACTTCAACTCATACGAGACTACGCCTGGACTAGACTATATGTCGTTTGCTATACTAGTGAAACTATTTATTTTAATTACGCCTGATACCCTCCGTGAATCATTGATCCCCGACAAAGATTCTTCAACCGAATCTGTCCACCGCTTCTTTCGCAGTTCATACAAGTTCCCATCCGTCAACTCAGCGTCTGCCTCCGATTCTTGGCGCAATGTACTCTTTGGTTTGCCTCATTTCCTCTTATCTTTAGGATTCCAAGTTAGGACATGTCTCTTGATGGAGTCTACAGATTTTCTCAATGTGTACCATTTACTTTCAGCGTCTTGTTGTTGATGGTATCCGAGCAATAGATCTGAAATATATTTCGTCAACAACTATCCATTAATACCTTTAACTTTTGATGATGAATGTAATGGTTTCAGCTACATACAACAGAATTGTTTTAACATTAGTGTTGGAGATTCTTACTTTGGTAATGGGTGACGGTTGTTTTCAGTTCCACACATTTGTCAGTTGTAGGAATGTTACTTTTGCAGTGCCTATTCGTACGTTTATATCTGCACCAGATCATCCTTTTTTATTAGTAATGCTGTCCAGGTACGTAAAGCCTTCCATCTCTTCGAGAAAATGACCGTCAGGTGTGATTTGGTTGGTGCAGGCTGTATTGTATTTTAGGATCTTTTCATTTTCATTGTGTATGTTGAGGCTTACTGATGTAGAAGCAGCTTCTTTATTGGCATTCTTCAATCTAATTTGTTGCTGTGTTTGAGGTAGAGAGGATAGATGATGAGTAAGCGAGGATGACAATCATTGGTTGTTTGCTTACTTAGACTTTTAGATAGTCTGACAGGCATTAGATGAGTCAATATTCCCCTATCCTTGCTATTGTTCTTATTATTATTGATTGCTGTCGGCTTTGGTTGTGGAAATACATTTACGCTCTAGTGAGACTAATAACGTGTTCTTGATCCGAGTTGTGTCGAAGTCCTGTAGAATAGACACTGGGAGGGAATCTAGTGTCAATTAACGTCCCTTTTGTGTAGACGTGGAAAACTAAGCGTTATGACACTAGGTCATTTTAGAAGTCGAAAATGTCTGACTGCATCCAAGCTGTTTGTTTCAACTACTTCTTCGGGATTCCTGAATTTCGTGATGACCTTGTTGATTTCTCTGTTCGTTGATGGGGTACCATCTGCATGGCAATCTTTGGGTTTGGTTTCGATGTTGGGTGTTCTCAGAGGTGCCAATCTATTCGAAAGATGGAACGAATTGAGCGAAGAAATTTCTTTTCAATTGGTTTTTTCTTCGCTCAATTCGTTCCTTCTCTATTTACCAAATGGCAAAATGGGAATTTTCACTATATTCGAAAGATCTTCAAGGTGCTCCACGCACCTATCCCGCTACTATTAACCCTCAGTGATTGATTTCCCTTCTTTGTTGTTGGCTGGTTGCTTTGATCTACTATGTTTTCTTGCAAGCTGCTTGGTTCTAATATCATATAGTTTTCTTATATATCCTTTATTTGTAGCCTTTTCTACTAGGTCATACACGTATTTCCGCTTGTCAGCCCCGATATCTCTCTTTACCGGTTTATTTGCTTCTGTGCCCTGGTTTATTCTGCCCTTGTTCGGATGCTGTTAATTGCTGTCTTCCTGTCTTTCTTTTCTTGAACCTTGACCAAGATATCGATAGAGATCTTCTCATGATGGTGCTTTTTGGGAACCAGCATCTCTTTGAATTTTGAAGTTATTGCTTTTTGAATCCTTTTCTAGTGGTTGTCTATGGTGGTTTCCTCTTGTTTGAGTTGATCTTGTAAAGCTTGAAACGTGTTGTTGATCACTACCATACTGAATTCTCTGAGCTTGTTAAGATCTCAAATGAAGGCTGTATTAAACTTTTGTATTTCTCTTTCTCCAGCTGTCCCGGGATTCTTTAGCTTTTGCTTCAAATTGACTATCAGCAAGCAGTAATCTCAAAATATGTCGGCTCTCTTGTTCGTTATTACGTCTTTTATGAACCGTCAGAATATTGCGTTAAAAGGAACGTAATCGATCAGATTCTCTGTAATGTGATCCGGTGAAACCAATGTAGTTTTCTGTATGTGTTTATGGTGGAATATACTATCACCTATAATCATTTCGTTAAAAGCACATAAATTTGCAAATCTGTCGCCATACCCGGTGTTTTTTCCATTCCAACCCTGGCGTTCAGGCCTCCCGTCGGGATAGTCAGGTTCTTTTCTGGACACTTCTCTACGATCGTCTGCGGCCTTGTATTTTTTCTTCATAACCAGAGTGCAACAATACCCCTATCGGAGCTAACCATTTTTGTCCAGTTCGCATCCTATGAGTTTCACTTATTCCGAGCACCATCAGGTTGTAGCTTCTCATATCCTCAGCTGGTCTTCCTGGTCTGCCACATGGTGCGGACTTTCCATTTATTGGTGTTAATTGTTCCTTTGGTAGTTTGAAGGGGAATCAGCCTTGTGATTTTTGAAACATCTCAGTATTCACAGTGGGACGTCGATATTCTTATAGTTGATTATCCCTTAACCCTCAGAAGAGAATGTTAATGACTTAGATGACGTCTTTGGTTGGAGTTATTTTGGAAGGGATTTTTCTACGGGATGGAGTTGCTGGTCCCATCTCTATCTCTTTCCTTTTAATCGCTTCTGGGACCGTCAGTAACGTTGGACGAGCTCCAGAAAAAGTCTATGATAACATTGATCAATGTTGCATCATTTCAAAGATAATAGGAAGTTTTTCCAAGTGTCGAAAAACACCTAAAAGACCAAGGGGAAAATACATTAGAGATGGAAGATAATTATCAACTAGAAAGGAATTAAAGAAATGAATACCGAGCGGTATTGCGTTGATAATAGTTTAAAAATTCCAAATATAGATTGACTACGTAATGAGCAAACAATTAAGAGCAAATGTTTTCAGATGAAGATATTACATAGAAGAGAGAAAATTTCTCTCCTGGTAAATATAAAGAACTGAATAAGTATTCTGATAACAGCTAATTAATGGTTGTGAAGAAATTATGATAGAATAATGGCAATAGTTTAGGGAGTATGGATGATATGAAGGGAGTTGAGATCATGATAAAATAATATCATTATTATTGCCTTTATTCAATGTTATATTTTCGGTACAATATAGAATTCTCAGCACAAAGTATCTCAACAGGTTTTCTTTTCTTATTTCTTTATCGATCCTTGCGATAAATATTGAGTGGTCGCCAGTTAATTGTTAGCAGTTCAGGAATCAACATCTGAATAATGTACATTCTTTTCGATGAATATAGCCAGCAACCACTATGTCTGATTGGGCTCTTTTGTAACTTGTATAGCGAAATGTCGTAAACTTCTCACAAACACACCTGAATAGGTTATGAGACTAATAGGCATAATTCTGTGTTAAAACAAACAAGCAAAAAAGTTAACTTGTTGAATTATCCGGATTGCGGGGGCGGGTAGCCGAGATATTCATAGTGGCCGCCTCGATTGGTTTAATACACATAGATTAGGCTGGAGTCGGTGGACCGCTAAGGCCCCTGTGGTACATATGTTTCTGATTTGTATTCCATTTGAACCACATCTTTTTACTTTATGGATGAATTTGAATGAGTAATCTGGTGGAGCAATGTGATCAGTGTTCACTATATCAGTGGCTTTCCAGAAGAGGTGTTCATGAACAAACATGACATGTTGTAGGGAACGAGTAACTAGTTAGATTTGACAATGTGAAATTATCATGTAATATAAAATGCTAGTTAACCTGAACAGAGAAGTTCGACACAATTTAGACTCTTATACAGTATATTTAGAGAAGACGGTAACCACACTGAAGCGAGATGTGTTCTTATACTTCCTAAAAATTATGTATACTTGAATTTTTTGTGGGCATTTATAAAATCTAGTAAGGATTTAAATTAGCAACCATTTGAAAATAGTCACTCAAAATGTTTGAAAAATCCGAGGACTTGATATTGATAGATTATCTCATACTCTAGAGGTTAGGCGTTCGCGCACGAGACCGAAGGTCCTAGGTTCCAGTCCCACGTGCTGGGCAGTGAATGCTCACTACTGAGAAGCCCCGTACTGGGACGAAACTGCTGTCCAGTGCTTTCAGGTTTTCAATGGTAGTCTAACATTATCCAATATCGACATCGTACTAATCAATTTACATTACCCTTTAACAAATACATATATGCATTTATATATTACAACAAAATACTCAGGATTGAGAGAAGTGAAATAGCCCACTAATGATGATGGATGCTTCCATTAGATTGATGATTGTTATTAGTGGAAGTGTACGCTGCAATCTAAACCTAACGAATATGCTACAGTATAGCCATGTGATTGGTCGAAAACGTTAGCGGACAATCACGAGCAGACTACCAATAGAAAACTTAAATTCATAATAGTCCATGTAAGATCACTACAAAACAGTATTAGCCAACCACAGTGAAATAAAATTGACCTATATTTGGATGGCCGACAATTACTTCATTAAAGAAGGGGTTTAAACTAACAAACCACATAGAACAAAAGCATATATGTACAAGAATATAATTACTTCAAGCACGATGAACAGATGCATTAAAATGTCTATCTGTAAGTGAACAATGTTCGGCTTGGCAATAGTCTTGGTTCTTAAATGCATCTCAAAAGGTGAAATGGTATGAAATCAGAAAAATAACTGAATGATTAACCATTTATTTGATTACTTACATTGATTATTAGTGGAAACACCTTTCTAATAACTTTGATAAAGTTTGCAAAACTAGCTGGTTACCGACACAAATTGCGATTAGAAAATTCTTCTACTAACATGGATGTGTTCATGAATATGAAGCACCTTGTGTAAGAAGAACATTTTCCTTTAAACTACAACAGCACTTAACAAGAAATAACGATCGAAAAGATGGAGTATAACATAACTACATGGCCATTCAGAGAAAACCCATGGAGTTCCAAGTTAATTTGTAACAAGTTATTAGTGAAATGGACAGAAGGTGTTTATGCGACGTGCGTAGCATCAACAGTATTGGGTTTCATATCAGCCTATATTTTGCCCGTATTCCTAATTATATCATTTATCATTTATACTACACTGACTAGTGTGTTAATTGCATCCAATCATAAAACTAGATCGTCGATTTACTTCCTTGGATCACTGATATCAAATATACTTGTCAGTATAGTGTATGGCTTATTTTGGTTTTACTTAACCAAAGGATTACCGTATGCAACAAATGGTGATAAATATTTCTTCTTGTTGTATGTGTCCATAGATTCGTGTAAATTTTTCCGTTTTTGGCATTCGTTTTCTTCAAATCTTATGTGTAACTTTCTATTGTGTGCAGCGGTTGATCGTTATCTAACTGTTTATTTCCCGACAAAATTCTCAAACCTACCAAACAAGTTCGCTTGGTATGCTTTCGGTACAGTGTGGCTCATAAGCTTTCTTATGACAATTCCATTTGCAATCGTCAGCAGCTTGCTTGCTGTTGGAGGAAAGCTTCATTGTTGGGTTACACCGGAGAGTATCTATTCTTTATTTTACAATGCTTTGGTAACAAATATGGGACCTGTACAACTATCCATCACCATAACCATAAATATCATGTTTTTCGTACGCATACGCAAACAACTGCGACAAATGAGCACAATGAAAAACACAACTGCGACGGATCGTAAACAACTTCAAACTTTGACATTTCTAATAATATTTTCTGCATCCTATGCAGTGTTTGGTGTTCCACAAAGTGTTGTGTACATCATAAACAGAGCTACTGTACTGGGTTTCATTGATGCTAATTCTGATTTGTGTCAAAACATTGGTGATATAATATGGACTTTGTTCTTCTGTAGAAGTTTGTTTGATATTGTATTGGGTTACTTTTATTTTCAACCAGTACGCGAAACATGCTTAACTGTTTACAGAGGTTGTGGAAAGTTGAAGAACAAGAGCTCCACTTTGAACTCCCAATTTTCAACATATCAGCAGCGATCATAACGGAATGCTTATAAAATATACTTCAATAATGAGTAAACATAAATATTCAAGTAATTGAACAATGACATACAAATCAATTTATAGTATGAAGAAACAATCAAACAGAGAGTCCATTTGAGTCAAGATGAACGGGTTCACATTATCACATTTTATGATTACGTGATTTCTAATTTTAAGTTGTTTTCAGACACAGACAATTGTTCTGTAACGTGATAGATTTCATACAACCACCTTGGGACATTAGACCACGTAAATGTACCTATCAAGTTCGTCTTTGTTCTGTATTAATGTTCATCTAAACTCATCATAAGATGATTTAAATGATGTGCCGTACTAATCATGTACCCAAATCATTTCTATGTTCATGTGGTACATCATCTAAAAATACACATTGTCATCAAGCAATCAGATTTTATTAAAATACATTTTAATCTTCTTTACTTTTATTCCGATCCATAACAATACATTTACCTGCTATCAATTATGTAATCGAATTAGTAATATTCTTTAACAACTTAAAATAGAGAGTTCTAAAATATTTGATCTGCACTAAAGTTGTTCAGATTGTTTATGAAGCATATTTTGTTTTAGTAACTATTCTCATTATGTGTGAGTGTTAAAGAGAACGATAGTTTACGAGAACATCTTCATTAGGCTCCACTGTTACAAATCCAAAATTATTGTATTACAGTAGATAAAATATTAAAGTTGTATTAATACAGATGGTAAATTGAGCATGGTGAACTTCACGCTAATTGAGACTTGAATAGCAATTTCTGCTGCAATATTTTGTCTGTTGTAACACAAAAATAATTTTTAATTTAAAACTGTAGAGCCTGATGATAAAGAAATTAGACAGTGGACAATGATTGAGAAAAAATGGGTGGAAGAAAACAGACAGACGAAGGATTTGATAGATAGTGATAAAAAGTAAAATCATTTTATAAGTCTTATCGGGTCTAGGATGAGAAAGGAATATTGGGAATTTATTATGAATACAGAGATTAGGTTTGTTAGCTTAAATCTCTATAACTTTGGCCGTATATAGAAGAAGAGTTTGAAGTGCATCAGAAAAAGTTAAATGTATACGACAACTTACTTTTAATGAAATGGCCCTATCTACTACATGATGGCTATCAAGCAGTTGTTATAGAACGAAGCTGTGTACTATTGTAGTCATACCCTTTCCGAACCCTGAATAAAGGTGTTCACTAACTCGTTGGCCGAATTGTCCGGTTGTACATCCAATATAGTTGTCTCTGAAGCAGTAGCTGAATTTGAAGACATGTATGGCTGTCACAAAACCAGATAAAATATCTTTTAGTTGACGAACAACCACAGGTTAGTTAGAAAATATAGAGAGATTAACTACATAAAACGTCTTCTTTGCTACTCCAGTCAGTTTATTCTGTGGTACATCACTAGCTATATATCTGCTGAATTGTAGCTACAAAATGAATGATTTCTCCTATGACATTGATATCACTACCTTGCTGTTCACTTTATCTATACTCTTATTCAGAAGACTGCGATGATGTATCGTTGCAATCAAAATATTATATGTGAACTCTAGTTGTTCATTTATTGTACCCTCTGGGCAAATCTTCCTAGCCTTACTTGCAAGGAAACTATTGAAGTACTAAATGATATAAACGAAAATTTCGTTCACCCCTAATATAACTTACAAACTAAAATTATTTGGCCTGAGAATAAATTGGCTGAAAATATTTCACTGAAAATTCTCTTGTTCCCAAAACAATATTTGGATTGCAAATAATTTCTTAAGGATTATAAAAAGACTTTCAAAACATACGAAATTCCATGAATTCGTTTTTTAGATCTCCACATTTCCAACTTTATCTCGACAAGCTATAGCGCGAAGGAATTTGAACGAAACTGTCTCTTGGTTATAAAGATAACAACTCTTAGTTCTTTGAGGAGAACAAAACAAAAATGAAAACGAATTAATACAATACAACAAATGTTTAATTGATGAATAAAATCTTCATTTATCGGTATCAAACTAATCCATCTTAATGTTTAAAAAATAATAGGAAATATAATTCGATTACCTTATGATGCTACATAAACAAATAGAACTATTTCTCCGGGACTATTCAAAGGACGTTTCAGTTAGTTGTCTATATATTTGACTATACATGCGAGATCATTGTTGAGCACTGCTGAGAAGTCCTATACTAGGGTGAAACGGCCGTTTAGTGCTTCCAGGTTTTCAATGGTCTATCATTTAGCGATTCATGATGTCAATAAAAAATAATAATTAATTAGTATTCAGAACGTATATAATATTGACTGATATAATAGCACCAAGCCGCTGAAGATAAACTTGATTTAGAGTTCTTCAACCTCATTTACTCTTCATCTTAACAACAACTTTATTTCTCGAATTTTTCTTCGTGTTTCAAAATAATGAGCTGTTGAATAATTTTTGTGACCATATAGGGTTGTTTAAACTCAATATTTTTTCCGAAAGTTTGTAGCTCCTGAATGTAATCAAATTAAACTCCTTATCAAACTTGTGTGTAAGCCCTTGAAATTAATCACCTTTTGTATTCTGAGAGACAAATGTCAGAGCACATATATAACCTAGTTAAATACACGATTATATATCATATTCTAAATATTATAAACTACGCACACTCAAAAATTTACTCAGTATACTAGTATGATAGTGAATTAAAAATCTGTAATGTCTCCAGAATAATTTTCATTTATTTATATTCCCTAGTCAATAGAACATTGATACGTATCAATTTTAAGTCCGTTCAATTTTTCTTCGCGTGCAATTTGAAATTGATACGATACCATATATTGGAAATAGATAAAGACGCTTATTCAGATTAAGTGAATTCAGTATATATATATGATGAGTTTTTATTTTAGTTTCATACACTAGAATTATTAACTGTGAATATATTGAATTCCCATAGAAATAATCATAGTAAAATTATCACCGTTAGTTTAATTTTAATTCATAGATTGCAACTAAATATAAAGACAAGTTTCTTTTAACTAGTTTACATACAAAAATATGCTATGGGGATTTATTTAAAGTTGATATAAAATCCATTCAAAATATTCTTTTTATAAAATATAACTCACTAATCTGTAAATGACGGTATAATTCTCTTATAAAGCATATTGAAGTCGGTCAATGGAACATTTTATTGTGTCTGCATTTGCTTCAAAATACGTGACTTCAATAACATCATAATATAATTCATATTATTCAACTTCCTTCTTTGCAAAATTATCAGTTCACATGGGTTCATTCTCAACAAGCATGAATACATATTTTAAAACACCGCTTTTTATGAATATCCTATTTCAGTCATATTAATTTATGAACTATTTTGTAACTATAATAGAAATTTCAATACTGTAAACTATACAGTCTAATGGAAAATTTAACTGGACAGTTCAGAAATACTCCATGGGATACATATGAAGGTTGTGATTCATCCTTAATAAATACATCAAATTTATTAATTCAGAATGATCGAATAAGTTGTGGAGTATCTATGTTGTTAGGAGCATGGTCCGGTTATATACTACCAGTTATATCTATCTTAGGACTTATTTCAAACACATTCATATCAGCTGTTACGTTTGTTCAAATTAAGTTAATGCCACGTCATATGATCTACATGGCATTTATTGCAATCATGAATTCAATAACAAACATAATATATGGTTGGTTATGGTTATTTTCTGCTAAAGGTTTACCATTCATCACGAAAGGCGAAATGTATTTTATTATAAACAACGTTTCACCAATGGTATGTAGAATACATCGATTCATCTATTCATCTGTGTCAACATGCATGTGTAATTTATTAGTTTGTGCTGCGTTGGATCGTTTCTTTTGCATATATTTTCCAATATTATTTAATAAGCTACCGAAATATTATGTTTGGTTTGCATGTGGTGCAGTCTATCTGTTGAGCTTCCTGATGATGTTGCCAGTACTCTTCATAAGTGGTTGGTATATTGTTGAATCAAAAATACAATGTTCTTTAGAACCAAATCAATATGCAATTCGATTATACCATGCATTGTTTTCAAATTTAGGCTGCGTACAAAGTCTAATGTTAGTCAGTATTAATGTGGCATTTCTTCTACGTATACGTAAACATGTAAAAGATACAGCTACAAGAAAGATGAGTGTAACTGATCGTAGACAATTACATACAACTGTATTCTTTTTAGTATACTCAGCATCATATACTTTAACATCGATCCCGCAAGCCATCGCTTACATTATTGGTAGATATAGTGATATTAGAAATGCGTTGAATCAGTCCAAATTTGCAATTCAAATAGCAAATATATTTTGGAATTTACATTTTACACGTGAATTGTTTGATTTTTTTATTTATTTTAAATATTTTAAACCATTTCGTCTAGTTGTACTAGATATATGTAGACCATGCTACAAACCGAAAATGAATGATACTAAACAAAAAGTTTAATAAAGTACATGGAAACAATAATATTATCAAGAGTGAGTAATCATACTGAATACTTTTCATTTAAATTATAAAGCAATTCATCATGATTGCCTAAAACTAAATAATAATACACTATTATATTCACAATTTTGTATCCGTTTCCATTTTAACAACTTGAAATTTCTTTTAGTTTAATAAAACTAAAAACACATTAGAAAGAGTAGAATAACATTTATCTCATTTCAAGGATGTTTAAAATGTGTTCTTCTTTTTGATAAGAAAATAACATTCAATATGTTGAAGAATTTTAAAAGTATCTCTGAAAAAAAAAAACCGGATGGATATAGAATCATTATCGCTTGAAGAGAAACTCTATAGTAGACAGTGTAGATAACATTAGTTAAATTTCAGGAATATTCAAGGAAATGAACAAATGGAACTTGAAAATCCTTTTTCTAATCCATTAATTTATGTATTACTGAAGTGTTTTCATCATGTAATCATTCTGTGATTTTATACTATTCTAATAAAATGATAAATTTTAATCCATTAATTGCTGCCATATCACTTACTATCCATGAATTACAAACAATTTGACATAGTATAATAACTGTTTACACAGAATAATATAAATTCAATTTACCTCGTTAGGTTCAC